CCAATTTTAGACATGTAAGCTCAGGTCTTCACGAGCTGAGCCAAAGGCCCCTGGTTCGTTTATCACCCAATGTTATTAAAACCGGCCCGGTTATTGACCCAGTCGAGATACTGGGTCACTGGTTCAACCAGTGGGTCACTGGTTCAATCGCATGACCCAGTAATTATATGTAATTTTATTATTTATATTAAAAAATTATAAACATACTCAAATATCTAAAAAAAAATGATAAAAATTTCAAATATTTTGATATAAAATTAATAAATCACATATTATTATCCAATAAAAGATCAAACAAAAATATAATAATCGCGATACGGGACTTTAGGTTCAGAAATGTACATGTCTAACTATAAATTAATTCAAAATTTTCTGCATAGTACATAATTGAGATAATATTAGTGTTGTATGTACATCACTTATGTAAGTGAATAAACAAAAAAATATTCAAATATGTCCATTATGATTTTTATTTTGGAATTTTTTTTTTTTGGAATTTTCTTTTTTGGACCGGGCCGGGTCACCGGCTTTTTTATGAAAATCGGTCGGGTCGCATGCATGGCGTTCTGTTGCTTCAATCAGACCGGTTATATGACCGGTTTACCGGTTCCCGGGTCGACCCGGCCGAGTCGGTCCGATTTTAATAACTATGTTATCACCCTAGTTGCAATGTCATTCTTTCAAATAGTGTTACGAAAACCGAACCGAATTAAGTGGTTTGACCGGTTAACTCGTAAACTGGTCTGACCGGTTAAATCGACACAATTTATTTTTTTTATAAAAACTGGTTTTATGGAATTTTAGACAAAATGTTTGAAAAATACTATTAGGGTGTGCATGACAACTTCTCGAAATTATTATTATTATTTTTAATTTCTGTTCCCCGAAACAGAAAAAAAATAGAAAACTTATTTGGTAAAATCGGTTTATTTTTGTTCCCGGAATGAATCAGTTTATTTTTTGTATTGGGAACAGAAAAAAGAATCAATTGTTTTCGGGTATAAAATTATAAACACTTGTCTCTCTCAATCACTCTCCACCACTACCATCATCACCACCACCCCATCTTCCCGACTAGAGGTGGGCAATATGAGTTGAACACGATGGGTCTACCAGTCAAAACGGGGCAAGTTGGGTTATATATCTCAACCACCAACCTGCCTCAACCCACTTAGTTGGGTCAAAACGGGTTGGCGGCTGGTCGAAGGGAGTTGGCCCGAGGGCCAATTTTTTTTTTTACTATTAGGTAATATTTTATTTGTTACTAAACTTCTGTAATATAATTTTTTTTTATCTTAATACACTCCTTTAGAAAAATAAAGAAGAAAAACTTTATTTATGATAAAGGTTATCCATATATGGAGACAAAAATAAGTTCTTAAAAAATATCTGACTGAATATTAGTTTATATTTAGGCTTGAGATTAGGAAAAAAACTAAGGGAAGTGTGAAATAAAAATAAGTAATATTATAAAATTAATAAAATATAATTTATTTTTTAGGCGGGTTAACCCGCCAACCTACCACAAAACGGGATGGGTTGGGCTTTTAAACCCATATTTAAGAGGCGGGGCGGGCCAACCTGTTTTTGGTGGGTCGAGACGGGCGATCCATTTTTCCACCTCTAATCCCGACACAACCACCACCACCATCGTCGTTATCGTCATCGTATCAACAATGTCGTCGTCACCACCACCATTACGATGTCAGTGCCACCACCACCACCACCTCCACCTATCGCTACCATCACCATCACTACAATCGCCGCAGCCACTGTAGTCATCACCATCACTACTACCATCACCACTATCACCACTGTCACCAACCACCATCATCACCACTACTGTAACTACCAGACCACCACTATCGCTGTCATCTTCACCACCATCATACTACCACTGTCGCTGCCATTATCACCATCATCTCGCAGTCACTATCGTAACTACCACCTTCATACCATCACCACCACTGTCGTAATTATAATCGCATTGTTTCCAAAAAAAAAAAAAACACATTGTTTCCAATTCCTTTGAAGTATTATTTGCTGTCGGGGATTCCTCAAAATTTGGTATGCGGAAGGGAAAAATAGAAAGTTATGTAGTTGTTTTAATTAATAAATCTCAGCTTGAAAGATAAGATTTGATGTAATTATAGAGTTTAACACTTTGTATCAATTAATCTATAATTTAGGATGTTTGATTACGAGGAGAATAATAAACAGCCACAAAGACAAAAAGCACAAGTAATTGGAAACAAGGTGAAAGTCTACAAAAGTATAAAGTACCCAATTACCCATCGTCCCTCATTTTCCTTGAAAACAATGCGAAATAGTTCGAGCGATGAAGTAGTAAAATAGCAAGAAAGAGGACGAGAGTAGTACCAGAATAGGATTTACTGGAAAATTCTCGTGTTGTACATATTAATTTACCAAAAACAAAAATAGCAAGAAAGAAAATCCCTTTTAAAAAAATCCATGAAAGACTGTTACAGTTTTTTAGTTGAATTTTGATTAAATGTTATTTGGCCCGAACGTTATATTTTTTCATCTCAAAATCCTTTTATATTAGAGATAGAATTTAGTTGATGTTTTTTTAATATATAAGCATAGATGAGTACATATATGGTTTGGTATTTATCATTTTAAATAATATAAATTATGTCATTTTAAGAGAGAGATAGACACAAGGAATGAAAATCATGGGAGATAAAGTGAGTGATTTTTTTTAATTTAAATTTTAAATAAAAAAATATTTTTTTGTGTCTATCTCTTTCTTAAAATGACATAACTTTATGTCATTTAAAATGACAAATACTTTTTTCATATATTTATGGGAAAAAATATTTCTGCTGTTACTGCAGATAAGTTATCTGCATTTATTCTCAAAACGACGTCGTTTTGGTATTGAAATCTTAAAAAATTATAAATATAAAGACTATTATAACCCTGAAATAAATTAAAATATAAAAATACCATGATTTCTGTCCAAAACGACGTCGAATTGAGTTTATTGCAGATAACTTATATGCAGTAACTGCAGAAAAAATGAACCCTATATATATAGCTTTAATGTTTCTAAAGTGAATGTAGATAATTCGCTCCCAAAATGACGTCGTTTTGGGTGGGGAAATTAAAAAATTATAATGAAAAAAACTATTATAATCCTGAAATAAATTATAATTATAAAAATACCTTGATTTTCGACGTCATTTTGGACTTGCTGTAGATAAGTTATCTACATTGACGATAGAAAAAGCGAGCCCATACATATACATATATATATATATACATATATATATATATATATATATATATATATCCTTTGATTAATAATTTAATACGAGTTGAACCAAAACAAATACACATGAATCATTTTATTTGAATAAAAGGAATTTAAGTTCTTTATGTAGATAATTTTGAATTTTATTTAATATTTATGAGCATGAAAAAATACTATTAAAAGAAATGATCACCCTTGACGTATGACTGTATTATAAGAGACTACTCTTTCATTTATTAGGTAGGATGATTTTTTAGAAAAAAAAATCAAATATACATAAATATAGTTTTTAACTTTTTTTACTTTATATAGATTTATTTGATGATCAAAATCATTATTTTCAAACGGTTTTTAATGATTATTATAATTAAATTATTTTATAAATATGAAATATAAAAAATTATAAAATTAAAGAACTGTAATATTTATGGACTTGTTTGATTGTATTTTTTTCTTGAAACTATTTTGTAGAATAGTTAATAAAATAAGTATTTTTAAATAAAAATAAAAATACAAACACAAAAAAAACCAAAATATGTTCTTTAAAATACTTATTAAATAATATTTGTTTTGTAAAAATAACTTTCAAAATAATTTTTACAAAACAAATATTATTTAATAAGATTTTTTTTTATTTTTCTTATTCTAAAAATTTTAAAAATTCTTTCTGAAATAGATTTCAAACAACCCTATGCGTCTCTCCCTATCCCGTCACACAGATAAGAATTTTCACGGGCAACAGTAACAGAGATACACATTCTAGTTCAATTAATGACCACTCTCGCGTTAACTAAGAACACACTTCTAATATACAAAAAAAAAGAAAAAAAAAAGAACACACTTCTTATAATCTTTTATTGAAGTCATTTTTAAGTTATGTAAAATTACATCAGAAGACTAAATCCTGATTCAGGATTATCTTCGTGGTGGTCGGTTTAAAGAGTTAAAATTTGTGTAAATATATGTTATAAAAAAAAAAAAAAATTTGTGTAAGTATAAAAAAATTTATTTGCTAAACTTTATATTAAAAAAATTAATTACCTCAACATTGTTTTGCATAAAACCAACATCGTACATTATATAAATAAATGGATAAATGTTTCTTATATTTTACATGATAATTTTATCCCCTTCGTATACATAAAAGCATGAGATTCATACCGTGTCAAATGATCTTACCTCATATATATATATATATATATATATATATATATATATATATATATATATATATATATATCTATTTATATGATCTCATATGAATCTCACGTATTTTTATATGAATGTAAAAAAAATGATAAATATTAATTGCATAAGTAAAATGTCATTATCAACTTCGTATAATTATCTATTTGCAGTCGGTCATTTAACAAAAAAATAAATAAAGATTTGGTAATAGGTAGATGATTTCTGCACCAACTCAAGCTTCAGCATTCAAAATGACTGTCTCAAGGCTCCCAACCATCATCGATTAATTGTATTTCTTTTTTAGAGTTTTTATTTTTCCCAAAGAATAAGTAGCAAAGAATTTCAATTCATATTCCCAAAATTCCCTCTATTTTAAGGGCATTGTCCAAAATATTCAACCATAAAAATAGATAAAAGGCTTCACTTTCACTTATAATTTCAGGCTTCACTGGGTGCTTCTCTCTCTACTACTGCGCACCCATTTCGTTGGTGTTGCAGTTGCAGCTATTCTCTTCTCTTCTCTTCCACACGCAAAATGCGTATCCTTCTTCTGCTTCTGCACTTCCTCTATTTCCGTTTCAACTACACCATCGCCGAGCCTATCTCAGAGCACAGTGTCCTTCTCTCTCTCCGTGAAGCCATTACCGAAGCCACCCCATCTGTTCTCCCCTCCTGGAACGCCTCCACCACTTACTGTTTCTGGTACGGCGTCACCTGCAACGCCCGCCGCCACGTCATCGCTATTGACCTCACCGGGCTTGACCTCTCCGGCACAATCTCCGGCGACGTCGCTCATCTCCCATTCCTCTCCAACCTCTCCCTCGCCGCCAACAATTTCTCCGGCCCCATCCCTCCGTCGCTATCCGCCATCTCCGGCCTCCGCTTCCTCAACCTCTCCAACAATGGCTTCAACGGCACCTTCCCTTACGAGCTTTCCCAGCTCAAGAATCTTCAGGTCCTCGACTTGTACAACAACAACTTGACCGGAGTGCTCCCTCTCACCGTCACCCAGATGCCGAATCTCCGGCATTTGCATCTCGGCGGCAACTTCTTCTCCGGCCAGATCCCGCCGGAGTACGGGACTATGAAACGCTTGGAGTACCTCGCAGTTTCCGGCAACGAGCTCGACGGAGCCATTCCGCCGGAGATCGGAACCTTAACCAGTCTCCGGGAGCTCTATATCGGATACTTCAACATCTACGAGGGCGGTATTCCACCGGAGATTGGGAACTTGTCGGAATTGGTGAGGCTTGACGCCGCCAACTGTGGAATATCCGGTGAGATACCGCCGGAGATGGGGAAGCTACAGAAACTGGACACTCTGTTTCTTCAGGTGAATGCGCTTTCGGGGTATCTGACAACGGAAATTGGAAACTTGAAGAGCCTCAAGTCGATGGATTTGTCTAACAACATGCTTACGGGTGAGATTCCGGTGAGTTTTGGTGAGCTGAAGAACCTGACGCTTCTGAACCTGTTCAGGAACAAGCTTCACGGAGCGATTCCTGAGTTCATTGGGGAGCTTCCGGCGTTGGAGGTGGTTCAACTGTGGGAGAACAACTTCACAGGGAGCATACCTGAGAGTTTGGGGAAGAACGGTAGGCTCAAGAGTCTTGATCTTTCTTCAAACAAGTTAACTGGGACTCTTCCACCTCACCTATGCTATGGGAATCGTCTTATGACTCTGATAGCTTTGGAGAACTTCCTCTTTGGTCCAATCCCTGAATCCCTTGGTAGGTGCAAATCTCTTGAACGGATTCGAATGGGTGACAACTTTTTCAATGGCTCCATTCCGAAGGGCCTTTTTGGACTTCCCCAACTCACCCAGGTTGATCTTCAGGACAATTATCTCTCTGGCCAGTTTCCTGAAGCCGATGCTTTTTCTCTGAATCTTGGTCAGATTACTCTCTCCAACAACCAACTTTCTGGGCCTTTGCCTCCTTCGATTGGTAACTTCTCCAGCATGCAAAAGCTCCTTCTTGATGGCAACAAGTTCTCGGGTCCAATCCCCCTTCAGATTGGTAGGTTACAACAGCTCTCAAAGATTGATTTTAGCCACAACAAACTCTCGGGTCCTGTTGCCTCAGAGATCAGTCAGTGCAAGTTGTTAACTTATATTGATCTTAGCCGCAACGAGCTCTCTGGTGAGATCCCAAATGAGATTACCAGTATGCGGATATTGAATTACTTGAATCTTTCGAGAAATCATCTAGTTGGTGCCATTCCCGCGTCAATATCCTCAATGCAAAGCTTAACTTCTGTTGATTTTTCATATAACAATCTCTCTGGTTTGGTTCCTGGGACCGGTCAATTCAGTTACTTCAACTACACGTCATTCCTGGGCAACCCTGATCTTTGTGGCCCGAATTTGGGTGCTTGCAAGGATGGGGTTGCCAATGGTGGTCACCAGGCTCATGCTAAAGGACCACTCTCTTCTTCTTTGAAGCTCTTACTGGTTATTGGGTTGCTTGCATGCTCCATTGTGTTTGCTGTTGCAGCAATATTTAAGGCTCGGTCACTGAAGAAGGCCAGTGAGGCTCGTGCATGGAAATTGACTGCGTTCCAACGTTTGGACTTCACGGTTGATGATGTTTTGGATTGCTTGAAGGAGGACAACATAATAGGGAAAGGAGGTGCTGGCATTGTCTATAAGGGAGCAATGCCCAATGGGGATCTAGTTGCCGTGAAAAGGCTTCCGGGTATGAGCAGAGGCTCTTCCCATGATCATGGATTCAATGCAGAGATTCAGACATTGGGGCGAATCCGCCACAGGCACATTGTTAGACTGTTGGGTTTCTGTTCAAATCATGAGACAAATCTTTTGGTCTATGAATACATGCCCAATGGAAGTTTAGGTGAAGTTCTTCATGGAAAGAAAGGGGGTCATTTGCATTGGGACACAAGGTATAAAATTTCTGTGGAGGCTGCAAAGGGGCTTTGCTATCTACACCATGATTGTTCGCCACTTATCGTTCATCGAGATGTGAAATCAAACAACATCCTTCTTGATTCTAATTGTGAAGCCCATGTTGCTGATTTTGGGCTTGCCAAGTTCCTGCAAGATTCTGGAACATCCGAATGCATGTCTGCTATTGCAGGTTCATATGGATACATAGCTCCAGGTACTGTTCATGTTCCACATAATTAATGAATTATACATTGAATTTATGTGACAAATTTCCTTTTCCCGATCATAATTGTACGTTTAATCAATGTTTAGAATTTGACTCTTTGACTCAACATAATGATTTAGGTGTAGACTGTAGATATTGTGGTGATTCCCCCAAATTTATTGACTTTGCTTTTCTACCTACAATGATCTCTTTATTTGTCTCCTAATTCCAAGCTAAGTATTGAAAGTAAATGGTAGGTAGCCCTACATATTCGTTTGATTTTTTGACTATAGCTCCCACCGAACGTTAGATAAACTATTTAGTCAATAGGTTAGAGACATCCACAACGGGAAACTGACTGTGATTGGTAAGATGTGTGATATGATGGTCTACTGTATTCCTTTTTGACGTATTGCCTTTGTTTTACTTATCATCGCTAATTAACATGGCTGCTTTATATTAGTTTATCATACAAATTTTGATGTTTGATAAATTGCAGAGTATGCATACACATTGAAAGTTGATGAGAAAAGCGATGTGTACAGCTTTGGTGTGGTTCTTTTAGAGCTTATAACTGGCAGGAAACCAGTTGGAGAATTTGGTGACGGTGTGGACATTGTGCAATGGGTGAAGAAAATGACGGATTCTAACAAGGAAGGAGTTCTAAAAGTTCTTGATCCCAGACTTCCCTCAGTTCCCCTTCACGAGGTGATGCATGTTTTCTATGTAGCCATGCTTTGTGTTGAAGAACAGGCAGTGGAGAGACCAACTATGCGTGAAGTTGTTCAAATTCTGACAGAGCTTCCAAAACCACCTGGCTCTAAACAAGAAGACTTAACAATTACGGAATCCACTCTGTCATCATCAAACGCTTTAGAATCTCCAGCCACAGCCTCTAAAGATCATCAACATCCTCCTCAATCCCCGCCACCCGATCTTCTTAGCATTTGAAGTGCTCTGTTGGGTGTGGGGGTATATTTCATCTTAATTCCCTTGGGGTTTGTGGTAGCTTATCCTTTTACTTCTTTTCATTCTATCTTCCTAGGGTTGGGGTTTCTCTAACTTTAAGGTGTTAAATGTTTGGAATTTTTAATGGTTTTGTACAGTAGTATTGGTGGGGGTATTTTCTTATAAGAGTCATTGTCTTCATCATGTAGTACTGCTTTAAATTTTAAACATCAAGGATAGTCTTGTTTTTTGCGGGGATCAATGACAGGTAGTGTGAAAGGGACACACAACGACACAAACGGTTTGGGTATGGAACAGTGAGTATATGGTTCAATAATATTATTCATAAACCCTGAAAATTAGTTTAACCTTTCTGAAAGGACCAGACAAATGGTATCCACGTGATACACCCAACAAAATATTAGTTTGTTATGAGGCCACTCCTTGTCATATTTCACCTCGTACGATATAGTTTTCTTATTTTTGAGCAAGACTGAACCGGTGGTTTGCCGTGGGAGATTCATCTTTACCTTCAGGAAAGGTCACTTTGGTTCGAGTTAGATGGAAGTTAGGCGGGTTTTATGATGTAGGGTTGGTGTTGGTGCATATATAATAACAATTAACAAAGGAAAAAATGAATATGGAATTGGAGTTTGTGGGCACAACTTGCCCTCTGCCATTTCCTAAAAGGACAACGTAGACAAAATTCCAGCAATACCTGCTCGATTGGGGTGGTGAATAATTTTGTAGATAAGAAGTGAATAATTTTGTAAGAATGATCAGTGAAAGAAGAACAAAATTTACACTGAAAAGGGTTAAAAAGATATAGATTAAAATATGATTACTTTTTTACCGTAGGTTTACAATGAATTGCTCGTGCGATGAACACCATGTTTGAAATCCGTATGGTATTGGTATTTGGTATTGGGCCTCTAAAGATATCCCAAGTACCCTCTGTCAGAGTGAACCGATAGGATAGACAGTAATTGTTTAAAAAAGCCTAGTATAAAATAACCTGAACTCATTATTGCTCTATGATTTAATAATTGAAAATTGGAACGTGGAATTCAACCAAAGAAGCTCTAAATAATGGAAACACCATATGCATCGGGCAAAAGTCTACATGTTAGAATTTTTTTGGTACTAGGTGTAAGATAAATCTAATAATACATTAGAACACAAAATAAAGCCCCCCCACACTCCATGAAGTTCAAATTATTTGTGTACCCAAAGAAAGACAAAATGAAGGAAAAAAAATGGAAAGTGGAAGTTGAAAATTGAAAGACAGGAGAGATGAATCAGTCTCAAAACGACAAACAACTTTACCGGAAAATCTATCAAAAGAAAGAAGTAGGGACTTGCACTTTCGGTCCATAGGTTCTCTGCTTGCGTGGACTTGTTGCTTCATACCACCACGACTCTATTTTCCTGTGTTTTATGTTTTGTTTCCTTTCTTATTGTATCATCTGCTAAAGTGCTCCATCTACTACTTTTCTTCTGTCTTGTATTACTTTCGGATTTATAATTTGAAAAACAGAGCACTTGGCGTACGGGATCAGAAAACACGGTGAATTGACAATTTTATGTTGTCTTCCACATTTTATCCTTTGCAATTCAGTTTTGTGTAATTGCCCAAGCTCTTCTTCCTTCCTAGGATTCTAACTTAGCAGTTTGCATTTCGAAGTTTTAACAAAAAACTTTTTAGTGTGCATTTCAAAATCACCAAGGGGTAAAATATTAGATCATCATAAAACTTACAACCAATAGCTGGGTCAAGCCTTGCATTTCTCTTTAGTTGGTACCTGAATTCTTTAGTTTTTTTTTTTTGAAAAAACTTTAGTTTCTTCTTAACCTTAGTTTCATTTTATTTTAAGAGTAAATATTTTTTTCGGTCATCAGCAACCGCTTTAATCCCTAGCAAATAAATAGGCTATTCGTGGTCTCTAAGAAATTCAAAGTGGACCCATTTTAATTCTTTTGATAGACTAATATGGGTCTTTTTTGAATTTGTGAGGAACCACGATTTCAACTAAATGGGTCCATTTTGATTTTTTTAAGGGGCATTGTGAAATTTGCTGAGGACCAAAAAATAGTATTTACTCTTATTTTAACATCAAGTTTCTTGTTTTTCCAAAATTCTTAAAAGGGTTTCTTCCAAAATAAAAAAAAAATTATTAGAAGAATGAAAAATGCAAGACCGTAAAAGACCATTAACCTCATAAAAAATTTATATTACAATCACGTATCATCTAAAAAAAAGACTAAAATTGAACCCCAATTACAATTAATATGGATGGAACTAGTGTGCATTGGCATTTCCTCCCCCTTAAATGTATGCATTTCAAGTAGTTGAGTGTTAAAGTGTCAATTATTTGTTCTCTTGGACCAAAAATATTTTAAATAATGTAAAATATAGTCAAAGACATAGCAATTATTATTAGATGCGAAAAACTTTTATAGTTTCCATTCTTAGTAAGATATTCACTGAAAAATGTTTCAGTTTCAAGTTGAAATTGCTATATTAGATCATTGATAGACCAAGGAAGCCCGAGAAAGACAAGACTCAAGTCAAGCAGATGCAAATGAGTTATTTCACGCTGCGTTTTTCGCTACAACAAGTTACTCAGCGAAAAAACATCAAAAGATGCAATTTTTATAGCTTCCTCGCTACAACGAGCAACGTCATAAAAAAGCCCATAAACCTTTATTTAAAAGAAAGAACAGAAAAAGGGCGATGAAGTTCGTGATGGCTACGACCTAGAAGAAGAGAAATCTCTGTTTTGAAGCGGAGTAGTTGAAGGAATAGTCAAAGCTTCACCGTGGAGACTGATTATCACGTTCTTTATTGTTTTTCATTAGTTTTTCATCTATTGTCTTAGTTTTCCTCACTAAGTCAGGCTAGGTTCTTTTGTAGTTAGGGTTAGATGAAACCAATGGATTTCTAGTGTTATTTACTCTTTTCCTGTAATTTGATATTCAATCTTTATGTTATGCAATAAGTCTATTTTCCATTCCTAGTTTCATTTATGATTTGACAGTTCTTAGATGAGTACATGAATCTTGCAAGACAATAGGGATGTTGGTGCATGAATTCAGACTTGATTGATTGCTAGGTTTTGTTTAATCTAAGGATAGACTTATGAAATGTATGACTTCTTTTCTTTTGTTCATCGTTCTTAATGATTGTCTAGGCGGGATCACTAAGGGATTAAGATTCTTAATAGGTCAAAGAATTGAAATACCAAGGGATTGATTTTTCGTTAATTTGTGATGAATTGTCAATAACATGAGGTTGGATATTGATTTAGGGAAATAGTAGATTCATTAGGATGAAAGTGGGGAAATCAAATCCCTAGCTACGCTTTTGCATTATTAATCTTTATTCCTATTTTTAGTTGAGTTCTTGTTCTTGGTAGTCTTAGTTTCTATTTTATATTCCAATCAAATTAATAAAACTCTAAGGTTGATCAAACTTTGATCGTAAAAGAACCCGCACCGTTAATTAAGGAAGTTAATTAATTAATTATGTGAAATTAGAAAATACTTCCATAATTGACCCTAATAATTATTATAAGGCTTAAATAAATATAGAAAGTGGTTAATAATGCTGAAAGTCGCTTTTCGGACGAAAAATGCAGATACTGGTTCTGCTACTCGGTATAAATGCGTACCGAAAAAGTATCCCAGAAAATTATAATAAGTGCATGATAATTCCTAGAATATTATAAAGGACTAGTAAAACAAGTTTCAGGTCAAAATAACGAGAACTGATGTCAGAACTGATATTGGCTATGGAAAAGCGCGTACCGGAAAGATGCTGCGAAAAATAAAATAAAAATATTTCAAATATTAGAAAAATGAGTAGGTTCAGATTCCAAAGTTTGGGATTAAAATAATAAGCGTAGCAATTAGCGCTAATACTATGCAATTAAGGTTAAGTAGACTATAAACGCAACTTTTGCACAGAACCCTAGGCCATATTGGCTTTCTACGTGAGTGCTACAGCAGCTAAGTGCCTCTCTTCTTGTCACCTTCACCTTCCACCACTCTCTTGAGCCAAAGGAGCCATTTTTACTCATGGTTTCCTCACCAAAATACTTTGGCCTTGTGTAAGCTAGCATTGGGAGTGGGAAAAGACCACCATTTATGAGTTTTAGCTTCTGTGTGTGAGGAGTAGTAGGGCTGACTTGGTGGTAAGGGTTGTGTGAGCCTTTGAGGTAGCATTTTTAGGTTCAAGAAGCTTCTTTTGTAAAGAAAGGAACCACCTTGTGTGCCATTTATGTTTCTTTGCAAGTCAGAATTGTGAGGACTTGGTGGGAAGCTCCAATAGTGTTCATTTGCTGAGTTTAAGCTTGGGTAAGCTTCATCACCTTTGATCATGAGTTTAAGTGGTTAAAAATGAAACCTTGATGCATGTAATGAGGTAAAGTTGATAACTTAAGGTTGTATAATGTTAAACACACCTTAAATCGCATGTTTGGGCTTCTTTATGCATGAAATGAGTCACCTTGGGAAGAATATCTCGCGAAATGCAGAACTACATTCTGTCGCGAAATATCTGGATATGATATCCGGATATGATATCCGGATATTGATATCGGATATGGGGTCTTCTGATATCCGGATACGCATATCCGGATATGGGATATCCAGATATTCTGGGTTTTCGTGAACAGTGAAGGTACTGTTCATACAGAACTGAGTTATGGGTTAGTAGACCCTATGTTGATGAAGTTGAACTTCTGTAATAATTAATGTAAGTCAGAATCAAGGGATTAAGGGCTTGTGGCTTTGTGAGAAGCTTCATGACGTAGAATGTAAAGGAAGGGCGTTATCTTTAAATCGTATGCTTGTTGTGCCTAAATATTGATAATACTGTTGGTCCAAACAGATTGTGATTTTGCTGTTTGTGGACTCTGAGATATTGTGGACTCTTGGCATTGGATTGTTAGCTTGCAAGGTAAGCTTTCGTGTCCTCAGTTTAGCCATTGTATGTTCCACCATGTCCTATGGGGGGATGGTTTATATGCATGATGTGTTTTCATGTACTGTTTTATTGAAATGCTGCTGTTAAGTGCAATTATTTTATGATATGTATGTGGTGTGACTCCTACACAGGAGGCCATGGGGCGATCCTGTGGGCGGATACAGCATGGGCTGGTACTGTGAGGGTAATAGACTTATTCTTGCACTTCTTTGATCAGTAGAATAGTATAAACACACATGACATGATTATCTGCTGCATTGCACTGTTTTTGAACTTATACTGTTAAATGGCTTTTGAACTTATTTTGCACATATAAGTGAGCTTGGGGTGGAAGATCCTTGAGGACCCCTTATCTTACTGAGATTTCTTTTTAGAGATCTCACCCACGTTTGGGGCACCATTTCAGGTTCAGGTAATGCGGGGGTTGAGACCTCTAGTGACAGGAGGCCAGAGCTTAGTTGATTAATGATATCTGCTTATGTTGTTTCGCTGTTATACTTGGATGCTGGATCCTGTTTACTGCTTTATGATTGTAGCTTCATTTATGGATTTCCTTGTTGAGACCTTGTTGCCTTCGTTGTTTATTTGGTGAGCATGGGGATTGTTCATGCCACTTGACTTGGTTATGTCTTTGTACGGATTCTAGTTGTAATAATACATCAGGATATTGTCCAGACTACGTGTTGTAGATCCGTGACTTAGATACACACTTTATTTATATATTGAAGTATTTCAGTTAGTGTTCTTTGCATTTACATACATGCGATGTTTTATGAAAATTGATTAAGTAATCAACTTGGATAAGATTAATGATGTCATAATTGAAAAGAAAAAGATATTCTGCAATTTTTATTAAGCGTGGCTTAATACGATGACATGTTAACAAACCGGGTATACACGGGGTGTTACAAATCGCGTAGTGAAAATATTGTTTGATAGATCAATCCTTGTGGGAACAATACTCTAGTCACACACTTTATAACTTGTACGACCGATATACGTGTCGTGATCCCAACACTAAGTTTATAAAGTGATTTTTTGTAAGTGGACCATACATGTAGTGTATATTTGAAACACACTAAAAATAATTTATCGCGAGCATAGAGCAACACTGGAAGGAAGATTAATTCCATGCTAAGAGTAAGAGTAAAAAACTTACCAAACACCATTAGCATAAGCGATAAGAAGCTTGTGTCCCTTAACTAGAAGTCTCGTGTTCGAGCCATGAGAATGAAAAAAATGATCTTGGGATAGTCGCCCCCTCTATAAGATCTGACAGTGCTCGAATTGAACTAGTCCGAAAGATGAATCGGTTGAGATGACTCAAAACAAAAAAACAAGTACATATATAATCTAACTGCTATGGGAGTGCATTATATTGCACCGACACCAATATAGGACACGAGATACGACATGACACGACTCTCCGACACGTTAATTCTAAAAAATATTAAATTTCGACACATTAGGACACGTTTTGATATTATATAATATTTTTAATTTATATAATGTATATTATATTTGATATTCAATAATTTAACAAAAAAAATAAAGTTAAACTTATAATACCCATCAATTTTGCAAAGAAACATAAGATATCTCAAATGTTTATATTAAACTCAAAAAAACGGTAATCCTAATCTAACGAATCTAATAATTGGAACTCAAAATGCAACACAATGTAACATTTGAACCTTTTTTGAGTCTTTGCAACGAGTATTGGACTGTCGGGAAGTGTCAGACACGACACATAAGGGTTTTTTGAAGTGTCGGTGCTTTATAGTAGTGCATGACAACATTCTCAGAATCAATTTTTTTCAATTTGTGTTCCCGAAAACAGAAATGGATAGAAACAGTGTTTGATAAAACCAATTTATTTTTTTGTTCTCGAGAATGAACCAGTTCAATTTCTGTGCAGGGGAACAGAAAATAGAAAAAAAAATTGTTCTCGGATACAAGGTGAGAAACACCTGTCTTTCTCAATCACTCTCTTCCACTACCATCATCACCACCACCATCACCATTCTGACACAACCACTGTCACCATTGTCGTACCACCACCGTCATCATCACCACGATGCCATGCCACCATCACTCCCACGTCCACGCTACCGCCATGACCATCAATACCGCCACTACCATCACTGTCACCACCACCATCGCCGCAGTCACTGCCACCATCACCACCACTACTACCTTCACCACGCCATCGGCACCGCTACTACCATCACCACACCACCCCCGCCACTATCACTATCACCACCACTATCCTTACCATCATTGTTACCACCACCACTTTGTCACTATCACCACCACTGTTACCAACCACTACCACCATTGTTGCAGGCACTGCCGTCATCGCCACCACTACCACCGATATGCCACCACCATTATCACGGTCATCGCTATAGTCATTGTTGTCACCACCCCTACCACCACTACCATCACCATGCCACCACTATCGAGCAAAAATGTAGCGCTCCGGGACTATTGGTCTTGCAAAGAGAGAGGGGGGAGGAGAGAGGAAAGAGAAGGACCATAGAATTTATTTCCCACCACGACCGTACCATATAAAAAGTAAAGTGATGATACGAAAATTCTCTATACTTAATATAAATGATTTTTTATTCTATTATTTATTGTGTTATCAAACACAATTTTCATTCTCGGAATAAAAATAGAACATGTTATCAAACATATTTATTTTCTTAGAAAATATTTCAAGGCATAAAAATAAAAAAAAATTATTTCTTTTTCAAAAATAGTACCAAAAAATAGAATGATTGTCATGCACATTTTAATTGTCCAAAAAAATTTATTTTCATTTTTGAAAAAAAAATTTCCTGTTTATATTGTCAAGGAAGTAGTTGCAATAAAGCACCTGATTTAGCACGACTGACAAGTCAAATAGTAGCTGGAGTGATTGATTATTTGGTTTTTTGTGGTTGGCCACAAGATCGACCTTATAATTGTTCCATCTCATTACTCTTCGTTGACTTCATTTATTTTTGCAGACTCTACAGTAGTTATTATAAGTTTAAGAGATGCAGTTCATTTCCTTCTCCCAGAAGTCAGAAGTCTATTAGATGTATTAGAGCTTAAATAATTAGGTGCTATAGATATTTTATATGTTCACGGTTCGAGTATAGTGTGTCAGTGTGGCAGTATGTGATGTTCCCACCTTTTTTTTTTATGGATTATCACTTTTTTTAAATAATTGCTGACCTGTTTCAATTTAATCATTTTATTTAATATTAAAATCCTAAATAAAGGTAAAAAAAGAAGAAAAATGGGGACTTGGTGTGTGCACATGGGCTCCAGCTCCAGCATATAATACCAATTGAAGCAGTTTGCCCGGAACGTAAGGCCACTGAGTTTCCCAGGTATCTACAGTTTTATATATTTCTTGAGATTTGCAATTTCGGAGGGAGACCAAGAACAATGGTTTCTGATATAACAAATGATATTTATATATGAGAATTTCGCATTTATTTTTATTTCATAATAAGTCTATCATTAAGAATTTTCTTATTCTTTCAATTACGAACTAGTCCGACTGAATGTACTTTCTGTTTTTCAATCAAATTCGATAAAAATCTATAGTCTTGACACGAATAAAAAGGAGAAAAATCATTCGGTTTTTCCATTTCGAATTTGAGAAACTTACTAGTTTTTGTGTTTTTTTTAATTCTTTTCTGTCATCGGTTTATCTACAATATCGGTGAACCGACGAACTGATGGCTAACAAGTTCAATGGCAGTGTGAATTTTGTTAGGATGATTTATAAGAAAATGGAAAAGTGTTTATTTTTTTAAATGATACAACTTATATCTTTTCACTCTCACAAAGAGGTGGAACTTACACTTTTTTTTTTTGTCAACTCTCTCTCTCTCTTCCTTTATCTATCTCTTTCTTTCTCTTAAAATGATACAATTTTACATCTTCAAAATAACACACACTTTTCCCATAAGAAAAAGAAAGTTTAAATATAAATTTTACCGTACATGATAAAGCAAAGCCCACAAACATCTATTATCGTCATATGGTGTTAAGCCCAGTATTGTGGCCCAATACTATTGTCCTCTGAATCCACATGACGAAGCACGACGGCCCTATGCCCGCTATAATAGCCGGCTTGTTTTTGTGCTGAGTTTTGAAAAAAAAAAAATTGGGGGGGGGTAGGGGTTGGAAGAAGTATTAATCTGTAGTGGCCTTATTTAAAAAAAAAAAAAATACATAAATATTTTCAAATTTTAACATATGAAAATTGCGATAAACTTTTAATTCATTCAAAGCTTATTTCCTCAACCTCATCACAAGTTTGTGGATTTTATCCCACCAAGTACACTGTATATAAATATATTTAAGAATTGCTTTATAACAGGAATATTGTCGAGCAGGAGTTGCAAGCAATGGACGTTTGAAAATGAATTGATAATTAACCTTAATAGTGCTGAACTTTAATATTTCTTTATTCATGCTCATCTGGGCAGGTTTATATTCGTTAAAATTAGAGATAAAACATCTATGGATTGATTTTTAATGGATTTAAACTCAAATTTTAAAGGAATAACTCAAAAACACTTGTAATGAGAATAATAACTGGTTTCCGTTTCTATTACACGTTTGCTGTTTGATGATACATAGAAATAGAATACTATTCATTTATTACATATTTCTAAATTGATCTCCATTATATCACATAGCTAATTCAAAAACTGTGATCTCACAACGGACACGGCACAATCTCACCGCTTATTTTGAGTACTGATTATCCTCATCATCTCATTTTCTGACGAAAGAAATGCCCTTCTCCACGCTTGCTGCTAACTCTTTCTTGGCCTTTTCCAAACCTTCCCTGTTGAAGTAAAAGTAGTGGTAGATAGACTCTTAAATGTTTCAGTATCACCCAGACGAACACAATTTATTCGAAAATTGAAGTAAATGCAGAAAAACTCTAATACTTCAGTTTCAACCATATGAATAGGAAATTTATTTGCAACTGCATACCTCTCATAATCATTCAGTGGACCAAGAGGAAGAATTTCCTCTGCCCCACTACGGCCAAGTCGTACTTTCGATGCAAAGAATGGAAGTTCAGTCACCTATGATAGACTTTGTTAGTTATTAAGAAAAATACTGATTCAAGCTTAGACTTTGAGTAGCAAAATCAACAATACAATATTACAATATGCTAAAATATGACGGGGAAACAAGGGTAGCAACTTAATATGCTCTTTAAGGAAAACAGGTCTTTACATACCTGTGAATCAACATATGCACATTGAACGACGCCAGCATCTCCTCTTAGGGCACGAAGGCATGCATCTGCAAATTTAACAGCAGCATATGCCTGCACTTTATTACATATTTGGCATTACACTTTCTTGAACCAAAATAGTTAAGCTGTCATGAATGTTATGCAAAAGCTACAAAACAAAAATGAAATTTCTAAAAAGGAAGCTTGCATTCTTATTTTTCTTTAAAAAAGAAAATAATAAAATACTAACCATTGACAGTGTTGCAGAGCCAGCTCCAGCTTTGGCCTATAAAATTTAACAACATTGTGCAAATCAAAATTCCAATACATAGATAATCAGTAGCATGGAGGACTATAGCACGAAGTTGCTGCCAAAAGGCACTAACTAATACATTCCACCAAGACAGGTTATAATTACTTCCAAACATAAATGGGTTATTCAAGGGTGAGTTTCCCTGCATAAAGGATAGCTTACCTCATAAAATTTCCCAGGTAAGCTTCTAGGTCATATATGGACCAGGGGCTTGGTGAAATTGTAAACTACCAAGTAAAATAAATGTAAAGGATAGGAACAAAGTGCTTTTATATCTGCTCCAATGTGAAACTTGAATCATCTTATGCTTAAGCTAACCCACATTCAATTAGCCTCTAAACCTCTCCCACATAGGTGGGAGTGTAGAATTGCGCCCATTGGCCCAGCCCCTCTGCTATCTCACCCAGATATCATTTAAGTCAACATTGATCATCAAAACCTCCAAGGTTGATGGGTAAAGGATAGATGAACAATGATTGAAGTTTGGAATATTAGTTACTGGGATTGAAGTAAACAGGAACTTATAAAAATGTAAATATATAAATTTTCACCTCAACAACTTCAGTCCCACCATTTTGTATGCGATCAGTCAAGTACTCAATTTCTCTTTGGGTGAAAGAGCAAGGAGGTTTAACCTGAAAATTGGGCAACTTTGTCACTTGAGAATATTAGAGTATCACATTTTTAAGTATTCAAAATCAAATATGGTAACAGTCAAGAATTAGAAGTAGTCATAGCGCAGACGGCAGACCTGAGAAAGAAGGGGTAAAATTGTGATTCCTGCATGTCCCCCAACAACAGGGACATCCACATCCCTTGGATCAATGCCCATAACTTCAGCCTGCAGTTTAGGCCCAACAGGGAAAAATGATTGAAGTGCAACTCCATAAATTAGATCAAATAATAACAGACCACATTAGGAAACAACATGAGCGCACTAAAAGCACAGAAATTTATTTTATGGCATCCAGACTTCAACAAGAAATGTTAAGAATCCACAGAATCTAGATGACTAAATGGACGTGATAGAAACTGGAAGCAGGTATGAGTATTATTGTATTCACAAAAACCAGAATTCCATCTTCTGAACTGATTTTAAACTAATATCACTATCAAAAAGAAGGATTACAGGTTGTATGTTTCATTCTCACTCTCACTCTCTGTATTGCTGGAAAACAGAAAGAAAATTCAAGTTAAAAAAATGTCACAGCCTCTTTGAGGGACCTGCAAATCTCTTACCTACTCAACATCTGCCTGGTTTCACACTTCCTATCCCTCCTTCTTATGTTCTCATTTCCCACAACCAAATTCCCTGCTTCTCCACGACTCCTTGCCAGGTTAGCATTTTGTTGTACTCCAAAGTCCCAAACATAAGTATGAAATATGAATCTCCCCCCCTCCCCCTTTTTTTTCTCATTCCAACATCGTCACTCACGTACATGTATTCATCCTTTATTTCCCACCACCTTCCTTGTAGCATACATCTTATTATTTGGAGTCTATCAAGATGACAATCCCAGCATAAGTATTTCAAAGATTGCACTAATTTCCTTTAAGCCAAAAATGTAAATTACTTTAGAGTGTACCAAAGAAAATTCTTTCTTTTTGCATATAGTATCAATAAGATAGCACTACACCACAATATGAACAAAAAAAAAAAAAAACTCTGGTATATACTTGCTTCTCCATACAAAATACAAAAGATTGTGACAAAGAAGCAGTCAGCTCCACTTGCCCATGAATTCAATTCCTTAATTACACTATCACAGTTTGTTATAATCAAGTAATAAGCATAACTGGTCAAAGCTTCAAATAACATAAAATTTTGAATTGGAGATTTTCTTTCAGCTGAAATTGGAAAAGTCACTTGACTATCCTAATTATTCACAATAAAGAGCTACATGTACTGATTTGAGACTAGCAGCACATACCACAAACGTATTGGCTCTAACAACATCAAGCATTGTCACTCCCAAAAGTCTCTTGGGATCATAAGTACCGGCTCTTTTGAAAACTTCAGCTGCGATGGGGACCGTGGAGTTAACCGGATTGCTTATCACGTTGACAATCGCTTTTGGACAGCACTTTGCAATTCCTTCACAAAGTGTTTTGACAATTCCAGCATTTATATTAAAGAGATCATCTCTTGTCATTCCAGGTTTGCGAGGAACACCAGCTGGAATGATTACCAAGTCCATTCCAATAAGGGCATCCTCAAGCTGCTTCTGCCCTAAAAATCCTCGAACCTAAATACCAAACCTTTTAGTCATGTCAGCAGCAGGCTATGCAAATAGAAACGAAATTTATATTAATTTTACAAATCTATATTGTGGGCACAAGGTCAAACAAACCCACGAGAATTCGCCGAGCAAGTTTATTAATTTCTATAGAATTCAGGACAAGAAATCAACACGTGTATCTGGGTTTTGCTTGTTTTTGAATGTCAAAACCAAAAACAATAGTGAGAATGAGGAACTTACAACAGCACCAGTGTCCATGTGACTGATATCAGCAGTGACGCCAGGGGTATTGACGACATCATAGAGGTGGAGAACGGAAACCAGTGGATTCATCTTCATCAACATTGATAGAGGCTGTCCTATGCCTCCTGCAGCACCCAAAATCGCGACTTTGAAACCGGGTGCCCCACCTTTGGCACGGCAATTGTCACGCCTCAAAGACCAAGACGAAGAAGCATCCTCCATCTGTTCAAATACAACAAAAATTCGAACGACGCTAATCTTAATCGAACGAACGATTGGTACAACTGAAAGAGAAACACGAAACGAACCTCGAGATTCGAAGGGTGGAGGTGGGCGGAAATTCTGGCAATTCGCTCCATAGTCTCTTTTCACAATGAAAAAACGAGAAAGATTGTTGTTGCTGTTGTCGTGGCGCCTTCGAATATGAATATGATTGATCGATCTCTATACGAGAAGCTTGCGTATGGATGTGCGGATTCGGAATGGGTCGTGTTCTCACCCCGATCACGATGATTGTGCTATCAAGTTCAAGGACAACACTTTCTGCTACTGTTAGGCTTCACCGTTTGAGATTTTCTCAGATTTTTATTTTGTTTTAAAATTTTTAAAATAGGTAATTTGATTTACTTATTACTTTTGTGTTCCAAATAGTATTATGATCAAATTGTTGAGATAGGCCAACTTACGCTGTGCGTAGGGAGGTGTAAATCAACCAAAAAAAAAACTAAATTGAATCATGAACTGAACCGAATCGTTCTTAAAATAACTATTTTTTAAAATTAGTTTATGAACTGAACTGATTTTTAAAGAAGCAGTTCATTAACCGAACCGGTTTTAGAACTAGTTTAAGAACCGAACGATTTTGAACCGAACAGAGCCGTTTCTGAACGGAATCGAATCGTTTTCAAACCGAACCAAATTGATTTTTATAACTTTATTTTCTAAATTTTTTTTATCTTTTCAAATGAGGATCGACCCGAACCGGTTCCGAACCGGTTCCGAACCGAACCGAATCGTTTCCAACCGAACCGAACCAAACCATTTAAATCAATTCGATTCGGTTTTTCATAATATCCAGTTTGGTTCGACCCATGCACATCCCTAGCTGTAGGACGAGACTATGTGTTTAATTTTCTACACTATTATTTTTAGTTTGAAGCCTTAATCTCTTAATTTTGGACCTCTTCTGAATCGGATGAGTCACGAAAAGATAAATCAATTGGAATATTAAAAAAAATAAAAATTGTTGAGATAGATTTTTAAACAGAAATTATTTTGTAGTAAAAGTTAAAAAAAATCAATTTTACAAAAGATATTTTTGTATATGAGTTAGGCCTAGCTGAGGGTAAAAAACATATCTATAAAATTTTAAGAAGATTCAATATTTAAAAAAAAAAAATTTTAGTAATTTTTTTTTTTTTTTGGAAAATACAATGAAAACTAAAACAACATCAAAAAAAGCCCTATATTGGGCACAATCTTGGGAGACTAACTCCCCTCAAGTCATTTCGAAGCAATTCCAAACAAGCCGTTGGAGGGACATCCAGCACAATCAGCTGTCCATCCTGATGAGGTGCATGAGTAGCAAGCCAATCAGCAACAAAATTGCCTTTTCTATAAGTATGACTAAGCTGAATAATCCAGTCTCTTTGAAGCATGCTACGAGCTCGGATGATTAAAGCAGAAAGAGGATGACTTACGTCACACCTTTTTCTTATAAATTCCAAAGCCACCTTAGAGTCACACCCTCCACAAAGACTCTCCTAAATCCCTTATGCCAAGCCAGATCCATACCTATCAAGAACCCCTAAATTTCTGCTGAAGTAGAAGTACCACTCCCAAGGAATTTTGTAAAACCAGTTAACCAGTTCCCAACAGCATCCCTTGTGACTCCATCACATGCAGTCCTTTGCCCACTGTCTATGCTGGAACCATCCACATTAAGTTTAACATAACCCTCAGAGGAAAAATTCCAATGAATAAGACGTTCCTCTCTTCTAAGCTCTTGATGACCAATCTTAATAAGGGTTTCATTAGCCAATTGAATATTACCACAAGTGTAGGTAATGCGCCTAATGAGACCATACTTCGAAGTGCTAGTTTGATCAAAGATCGCCTTATTTCTTTCCCCCCACAAACACCAAGCTATCACCCCAAAATACAAAGGCCAAGTTCGATCAGTTTGAAACAGACCTTTTAATCCTAGATTTGTCTGAATCCATAGATGAAGATCCATGGAGAAAAAGTCACTACGGTTATCAGAAGGAACCCAATCCTCCCATAATTCTCTGGCACTAGGACAATCTCTACTGGCATGTAAACTATCCTCAAGATTATAATGACATCTCAGACACGCTGCATCTGTAGCCATGTGACGATGCACTTTACGAACATTAGTTAAAAGAGAACCTCTGTAGAGAAGCCATAAGAATTGTCTAATACGTTCAGGACCAGGCCAAGCCCAAATTACCTTCCAAATCCTATCTTGATGATAATGCAAGGTACCCATGAGATAGTTATAAGCTGATTTCACTGAAAAAACCCCATCTTGGCTACCTGCCCAAATAACACGGTCCGGAGAAGGATCCACTGTAGGAGGGAGCACACTACGAATCTTGTCTAATACTGAAGTAGGAAGAAGGTGCTGGAATAAAGGCCAGTCCCAATTACAATAACAAGTTACAAATTGAGACGTAGACCAAAGAGTCATAATAGGAGGAATAGGTTGAACGGCCAGAGAAACAAGTTGAGGACATCCTGGCACCCACGAATCCATCCAAAAAGATGTATGAACCCCATCCCCTAAAATGATACGAGAATTCTCTAGAGTTTGAGGCCAATACTTAACAATAGCCTCCCATAAACCAGAATCATTTGTTGAAGCCGAGATACTTGGGATGAGCCTCTCCTCCACCTTATACTTGCTACGAAGGACCCGAACCCATAACGAATTACGATCAGTCATGATACGGTGACCTAGCTTCATGATAAAATCCATATTATTCTCTTTAGTTTTACGAAAACCAAGCCCCCCTACATTCTTCGGCAAACAAACCATCTCCCAAGAAACCAGGTGAGCTTTCCTTCGTTCAGAAGTTGATCCCCAAATGAAATTCCTAGTTACACTCTCAATACGTTCACACGTACCACTAGGAATGATACAAGTTTGCATAGGATATTGAGGAATTACAGTAAGAACTGACCTAGCCAAAGTTGATCTTCATGCCAATGAAAGAGTACGTTGATTCCAGGCATTTAAACGAGCTTGCATCCGATTTAAGATATAGCCAAACGTACTCTTTGTAACACGGCTATGACGAAGAGGAATACCCAAGTATTTACCCAAGTCATTTGTAGGAGAGTAGCCCATCAACTGGCTTAGATTCTGCACTCAGGTATGATTAATGTTTCTAGAGAAGATGAATTTTGTTTTTTCATTGCTAACCTTCTCACCAGAGCACCTGCAAAAACAATCAAGAATCTTATTAATAATAACAGCTTGCCCTTCTGTGGCTTCTGTAAAGAGCATAAGATCATCTGCAAAAAATAGATGGGAAAGCAGTGGTCCCCTTCTATTCAATCTGATAGGCTTCCAAACGTCCTCTTGAACTGCTACATTAATCAAATGAGCAAGTCTTTCCATGCAAAGGATGAACAGATAAGGAGACAAAGGATCTCCCTGACGAAGACCTTGATTAGGAGAAAATTTTGTCGTAGTTGATCCATTCCATAACAAATTCATTGTACATGATGAGACACAACACATGATCAAAGAAATAATATTCTCAGGCAAACCAACATCCACAAGCGTGTCTTTCAGAAACTCTCAAGAAATCTTGTCGTAAGCCTTTTCTAAATCAACTTTGACAGTCATCCAACCCTTACCTCCTCTCTTTTTATTCATGGAATGGATGATTTCCTGAGCCACAATGATATTATTTGCTCCTTGTCTACCCTTAATAAAACCACATTGATTAGGCATAACCAAGTGAGCCATATGAGATTTCAGCTTATTAGCCACAATCTTAGTTACAGTCTTGTAAATAACATTACAAAGGCTAATAGGTCTGAAATCTTTAAGTAATTCAGGCACATCAATCTTAGTAATCAGACAAATCAAAGTTTGGTTAACCTCTTTGATATTATCCGGATGAAGGAACACACCTTTCACAAAAGAGATAACTGACTCATCCACCTTATCCCACTGAGATTGAAAGAAAAGAGCATTAAGTCCATCCTTCCCAGGAGACTTGTATGGATCAAAAGAGAAGACTACATCTCTGATCTCCTTAAAGCTCTTATATATATATATATATATATATATATATATATATATATATATATATATAGGGGTAAACATTTCTATAACCACTTTAGATAAGACTATTTACAGCTACCATTTATAACTATGTACTATCGGTAATATATAGTTATAATATTAAAATTATTTTTTTCCTCTCTCCTTAGTCACTTTTCAGAACCTGTCTGCTAACAATAAAATTCAACCGAAATCTCACTTCAACTAATCACTTGCGGCTTATGTGTCGTAGCGTGTGTTTTCTTTTCATTTAAGGGTGTAAATAAGCTAGTTCGGACTAGGCTTTGGCTTATATAGGCTACACTTGTATAAAGTACTTTAGGTCTGATTTGACCTGTTAGCCTTTGTAGACTTAAATTATAAGTTTGATCTTATCTATATTTAAAAAATAAAAATTTTACCCTAGGCTTGTTAATAGAGGTATAAATGGGCTAAGCTTTAGCTTAAATAAGTTGGGCCTGTGTGAAATACTATAGGTCTGACTTAGTATGTTAGCCTTGTGTAGGCCAAAATTATAAATCTGACATGATCTATATTTAAAAAACAAAATCATTGGCCTTGGCCTGTTAGCCTATTTAAGCCTATTAGACATTCAGTAATTAAAAAAAATTAAAATAATATTATTTTATTATTCAAAATAAATAAGATAATATTTTTATTTATTTTGTTTAAAATAAATAATATAGTATAAGTCAACCTGTAAACTTATAGGTTCGACATGTAAAAAAAAAAGCCCATAACCTGTTTTCTAAATAGGTTTTTGTTAAAGTTTGAGCATGTCCTATTTGACTATATGTGATAGGCTGAGTCAGACCTTATATAGGCTGGGTCGTAAGCCGCTGCAAGGCCGTTTGGTTCATTTACACCCCTACCAATTAGTCTGTTTAATCATATTAGACATTCAATAATTAAGAAAATAATTAAAATAATATTATTTTATTATTTAAAATTATTAAAATAATATTTTATTTATTTTATTTAAAATAATAATTTATTTATTTTATTTAAAATAAATAATATGATATAGGCCAACCTCTAAACTTATAGGTCTGGCATATAAAAGAAAATCTATGACGTACTTTCTAAATAAACTTTTTTTGAGGTATGAACCTAGCCTAATATAGACCGAGTAAGCCCCTGCTATTAGACTGAGGGTGTGCATGACAACCATTATGTTCCCTGTCATTGTTTCTAAAAAGAAACAATTCTTTCCTGTTTCTGTGCATTGGAAGATTTTCTGAGAA